GGTTCTCTTAGTAAGCACTGAGAAGTATTCACATTCACATGGTGGATTTTTGAATGATTTTGATTTAAGATGGAAAAGCTGTTCTCTGATGCAAGAAATTCAGCAGAGAGTCACACGTTTGTGCTACATTTCTGAGTAATGAGAGCACAGGAGGGATTTTACCCATAGCTCCATGGCTGCATTACCTGCTCAGTTCACATCCACAAGAAATGCAGCTATTAGACATTAACATTATTAATATTGCAGCTATTAAACGGTCTAACATTTGAGTGTTGCCTTGCTTCATTTAACCGTGAGTAAGTGCACAATAAATGGACTGGAAAAAAAATGGGTGACAGCGTTTAATTCCTAAGTATCTCAGCGTATCAAGCTAACCACCTTTTAGTCCCTCGCAAAAGCATTTATACCTCTGGTTTTCTTTATTTTTAATCTTTTGTCACCTTATGACCACAGATTTTAATATATTGTTTGGGAAATGTAATTGTAGAACAACGTAGTATGGTACATAATTGTGGAATTTACGGAAAATGATATTTTTTGTGAATAAAAAATGAAAAGTGATATGCACATGTATTGTGTTGCCTAAGTTAATATTAGAAGCACATTTTTCTATAATTACTTGCAGGTCTTCTGGAGTATGTTTGTAGTTTTGCACATCTAAGGATTGCAGTGTAGTTCAAGCTCAGTCATTATATGTTGAGTGCCTGAAAGCAAATATTGCACACTCTAATTTGGAATTGAGCCAAACTTTAACGAAGCCATTCCAACATTTGAACCTGCTGTGGTCTACATTGCAGCTCTGATTGGATGTTTAGGCTCACAAATCTGTCACCCTAAATCAGATTTTTTTCCCAGAATTGCCCTGCGTTAAGTGCCAACAGCACACAAAGAATGATTTTCTTTGCTGAATTAAAGCATTCCCACAGCATGATGCAGTCACTGCCATGTTTAATCTTTACAGTTTTCTGTGGAGAGCCCAGAGGTTTAACTTTGGTTTTACTTGTCACAGTTACCCATTTGCCAATACATGACATAGATTTAAACAGGAATTCCCATAGTTTTCTTTCAACTGTGTTGTTTCATGGTCACTCTTCCATAAAGGTCATATTTGTAAAGTGTACAAATGGAAATAATAATTCCTGAAAGAAACCCTCAGAGGTTTTCACAAAACAAATGAATTTACGTTGAGATTACATTAAACTTTTGAAGGAAATTGGTTGCGTTTGTTTTTATTTAGGATATTGCAGTCAAGGCGGATGTATACATGTTTATACATTTTTATTTCTAGTAAAAAATTAAATCAAGATGTGTTATTTTGACATGATTTCACATTTATGCGCAACCTTTAATTTGACTCAAATTAAACTCAAATAAAATGCATTCAAGTTTGAGTAAAGTAGACTGTACTCTCATGATGGTTTGAGAAGGGTTAGGTTAGAGTTTGGGGTTGGCAGGAAGTTGAAAGACACTTGTGGCCTAGCAATGGGGATCCTCCTGCAATGACTTAGTCCCATTGTTTCCTCCTTTGGCTGAAGCAGCTCCTACCCAAGTGTGATCAGGGTGTAGCAGAGCTGATATACAATATCACAGCAAATACACACAGATGTCATGGCTGGTGGAAGTAAAGGCAAATGGAAAAGTACAGCGCGGTTCCAGCTGACGCTAAAGCCAAAAACGAGGATGGGTAAACAGCACACTTAAACATTTCTGCACCCGTTTCATTTTCACTCTGATTCCTTTGCTTCTTTTAAATGCAGCGATTTATCTCAACCCAAATCTTTCTGCTTTTCTCATTTTAGCGAGCCCATTTAGATATTAACCGACTCAGTGCTGAAGAGACCCGGCTGTAGTTCTGCATATTCGCTGGCATGTTTGGAGGGTTAGCCTTAGAAATGTCACTTTGTTTAACATCAAATATTTTTACTGCCTGTAAATGTACATATGTGGTGCCTTATACTCAATATGTACGTGCGTGTTCATGCACTCGTCAGCTTTTGTCTCCAGCCAGTGGTGGTCCAAACAACCTACTTTTGTCTGACAACGGCATCAAGACACGGAGGTGCACATATGCAGAAAGCTATTTGGAAAGGCCTCCTCGTAGCTGTCAGCTTTTATTATGCACCGAGGTGTCATGTTTGTTAGGAAGCTGAGTGCAGATGGCAGAGTGGAAGAAATGGATCACTAATTTTAACAATGATTAATGAACAGAGATGGAAAATGAATTACATCGGACTATTGGAGGCAAGGAATATTTTCTCTGAAAATGTTAACTTCGGCTGCCAGGCAGCCGGCCGTGTTGTGGGAGTAGATTGAGGAGGGGGAAGGAATGTGTGTGTGCGTGTGTGTGCGTGTGTGTGTGTGTGTGTGAGCACTAAGGTGCAATTTTTCCCTCGCATCTTTTGTAGAATCAACACTTCACTGCTCTTGCCTATTACTTTAGCTCTCGCCTGCTTAAACACTGCTTGCTTTATACACATTTACCCCCCACCCCTCGCCTCCTGTGTGTACTGCTCTACCAGTTAAGGTACACACTCTTTAATAAGGTAAACACAGGAAAGGTTAGACTGTCTTAAAATGTTAGCTATTTTCATTACTCTGCAGTGAGCTTTATATCAGATCAGAGATGTAAAAGATTCAATCAAGTGTTAGGAGCTTTTTCTGCGTTTCCCCCAGTAGAACAATAACGGATCTAGCAGTGCACATCTGCTTCTGGAAAGTGCTTGGCAAGCTCTTCTTTTGACTGCATTTAGAATTTTTGATCATGACTACATCAATGAGGCAGATTTTGGGGGGAAACATGTGTGTCCCTTCACAATGTTTTACCCACTCGTAGATGCACCATTTGACTGTATGTAACATTGCATCAGCATGTTGTTCATTTTGTCACATTGCTATTGTAATATTGTAGAAGAAAGAAAAAAGGCAGACATGGCATTCCTCGTTGCCTGTGATATGAGCAGATTTCCTTCTTCTTCTTCTACTTTCCTTGTATTAGACCCCCAACACAGCCATTCCCACCCCTGCCACCCTGCCTGTGGTTGTGTCTGTGTCGATTGTCTGGTGGGCGGTTGGTGCAACATGGTTTAATAGGTAGATGCAAACTATTTTGAATTTAATTAACCTTCTGATGGGAAAAACATAAAAGGGAGAGAAGGGGAGCAACTCCTGGCAGCGTTGCGTGTTTGTGTGCTTGTGTTTCCGTGTGTGCAAACAGGAGACGGAGAGAAATAAGAGAGTAAGAGTGCGACAGAGGATCTCAGGTTACAACAGCATATGCTAAGCACTCAGAAAACATACACAATGCCTTTGGTGAACAAGGTAGTCAGTATGCCCCTGGGAGCCAATTTAGATTGTGACTTAAGGCAACATCTCGGCTTTGTGTGTGAGCAGGGTGTGTGTTCACTGTGTATGAGTGTGAGTTTTACCTCTTGACGCTCCATTGAAAAAGTAGTGGTGGGTAAATCTGGGTGGCCCTCCTGCAGACCCTCCACATCTGTGTCCCCCCACCCTGTCCAGCCCCCTCACCCCCGCCATCACCCCGCTCTTCTAGGACTGAGCCAGCCTGTATATGCCTGGCTGCCTCTTCTCATTCAAAGATCCATGAGATTTGGTTGAGCCTCTTTTTGGAGGTCCAAATTTAGCAACATCTCCATATTAATGGATCACAGACAGAGACTTAAATACAACAAAAAAAGAGGCCCTAAAAAACACGGGCATTTTGCTAACGGTGTGACTGACAGATGATCTTCTGAGGAAAGAAACAGCACAAGTTCATTCTGAAAATTATGCAGAACCAAGCCTGTGCACATTCTCATCTTGGAAAACTTGAACAGGTTTATGCAAACCTCTGAAATGTCATAAAAAATGAAATGTAAATAGGGAGCAGTTTAGTAAGCTGCAAAGAAATTGATATTTTGATTTCTTACACATGAAACAAAGTGAAAGCACCTTATTTTAGATTTCTCAACTTAGTAAAGCTTAAAAACACACCAAGCTAGAATTGTGAAAATAGTCATTTCACAATTCATTGAAAATAACTGGTGCTTAATTTGACTCAATAATGTTTGCAACAAAGAAAATGAAAGATATGGCTTACATTTGTATTGAATATAATGAATGTGATAGCTGATGTTTGGACCGTTGTCTACATGGATAACCACAGTGTTTGCTAGCAGGCATATTTAGGCATATTTAGCAAAAAAAAAAGGACCTAAAAAGCCAGCCTTCCCGCCTATTTTCATATCGTCTTGCTGGATCTCTGGGTTGTTCCTCACATGGACACTGCATTAATTTTAAAACCAGTTCCCAGTGAAACTGCTATAGATTGCCCAGAACATTGTGGCACATCCAGCACTGCATGCCAGCAGCTGTTATTGATTGCCTTGGCCTGGCCTTGCAGACAAAGCCTTGTCACTTTGTTGTCACTCACTTCCCTACAATGTGAGCTCCAGGCTTCTAAAACGTTGTACTCCTCCTCAGCCTATAGGGTGTGCTCGGAAACCTGCCATCCTGACACACAATGCAGTCTGAGGAAACATTGTTTTCATTTTTGGCACCATGGCGCTTGAACCAGGTGTACCAAATACTTTCAGACCAGAAGGCACTCCTTCATGCTGGTTTTGAGAAGATCTCAAGGACTGTCTCCTACGAACATCCAACATCTAAAATGTGCCTTACACATATTTATTATGCTTTTCTCTTTTTCAGATGTATAAAAGGCCAAATTATAGATAATAAGATTTGAAGGTATTTAAAAAAAAAGCTTCACCACTGGTTTACACAAGTATTTATTGTTGATACATGTGCAGAATGATTGTAAAAGTTGAAATGATTTCACAATAAGTTTGACTAACGAGTCGAGCTGTGAGGCGGGTTTGCAGGGAAGAGACTCAGAATACAATTTTTAATGGGTATTTTTCTTCTGTCATCAGTGTTGCAAACTTGTCAAGCTTCAAATGCAGGTGACGCTGAATTTCCTGGTATGTGTGCTGTGTTTACAGGCTCTTGTCGTCCCACCTTCTGTGAAACTGTCTGCGTTCTTCCTGACATCCGGCATCCGCTGGAGAGGCAGCCGTGCAGGTACGATCACACCCATTGATCAAGGGGAACGGGAGGATATTAAAGGTGTCTGTCACACTCACAGACCCGTGCACTTATGTTTTTTATTCCAAACTTTATCTGGGAAAATTAACTATGGGCTTCATAACCAGTGCCATACTTCTCACTTACACTAGTAATTATAAATTCCTGGATCTTCCTATCACTGTTTTGGTCTGTCAGTGGCTCACTTTGGAGTGTGTAAAAGTTACACACACTCCGCCTAAACTTTCACAACCAGAAGAATATTTTGATGTGTCAATTTTTGTGGAAGCAAAATAGAAGCTAATTTGTGCTAGCTGTTTGTCTAAGAATTTATTCTCAAATAAAACTTTGGATGTAAATGTGATCTTTTTCCCCAATGTGATCAGAAATATCCCTACAGCGCCAAAGTCTGGTTCAATATTCCAAGTGATTATGATTTCCTTGGGAACTTTACTTAAACTGAGTTATAACTGATTCATAACTTGTTTTATCTTCTGAAACCAACATTTCTAAGTAGCAGTTTGAAATGAATCAAATGAAACTTCTTTAGCGGATTCCAAATAGAAACATGTTATGTTTTTTTTTTTTTTTTTTTTTTTTTAACCCTGATTTCAAAATCTAAAATGGCTGCCACTCATATAAGAGCTATTGAAAGTAGAATTTCTGGTTTTATTTTTACCTTTATTGATTGGAATGCCAATAAAACACACATAGTACTGTGTAACTTTGTAAAATGCAAATATGTTACTATCATTAATTAATGCATAGAAATAAATTGTTACAATGTTAACCTGTACCCAGTAACACTTCTACCAAATAAATCAATCCAAACATGCTGTATAATATAGTGGATATTCAATCTACTATGATCTATATGCAATGTTTACACTTGACTATACAGTGTGCATGTATTATATGCTTATTGCATATTCACATAATGGGGAAAAAGGTTAACCTAAATTACAAATGCCATTCTCTACCACAACAAGATCCAATTCCAACACTAGATGAAGAAAAACACAGTAGAACCTAAAGACAAAAACATGGCCGTATCACACAAACCGCATAGAAACCAGCAACACTACATTCCCTCAATTTACAGTTTACATAGGTTTGGTGAAAAAAATTGATTTTTGCTAACACCTCTAGATTCTATTGGCCCTGATGCTTTGATTGACATGTCAGCCAAATTAGCCAATGGGCTCCTGAGAGATGATAACATCCATAGCCCTGAATGCACCGAGGTGTAGTTTTTCTTTGCAGTATTTTGTATTGCATTTTACTGCAGAAATTGCCCCTGGTAGAATGATTTTGTATGGTAGGGTAAAAGGATAACACAAACAAAAAATAAATAAATAAATAAATAAAAACTGATACATTTCAAATTGTGCTAAAATAGCTCGAATGGAAAGTTTGTCTGGGCTTTTGTTGACCAATCCCTCTCTGAAACTTCTGTGCTTCACATTTATTGATACATTTTGATGTAGAGAAATATTCTGATCCTGTACTGTGTTATGGTAGATGTTTTGGATTGTAACTACAGGCTTTCAAAGGGACATTCACATCACAAAGTACATTTAGGCAGAAATGTTATTGGGGTTTTTTCATGCTCTGATGCATGCCAAATTAATTTACTCTCACTCAGTAACATTAATTCTGATTTTTAGACCTCTAGAGTATTCTCTGGAGAAGTCTTTAGTTCTTGAGATATATGTGAAATTCCTTTTCCGAGCAGGTCTTCCAAAAAGCAGCCTAGTAGCAGGTTACTGGAAACAACAGCAAGTAAAATCAACTGGTTTTCAAAATTTTGTGTGGAATGCGGTTAAGTTGGTGTGACATCATTCACAGATCAGATTAATGAACACCAACATAAGCCTTCTCATCCCCACAATGTTGTAATACACACACTAACACATCGGACAAGCCTGCACAACCGTTAACACGTGTGGCATCGCTCCCCTTAACACACGCTAAAACCACATGCGCCCACATGGTCTGTCAGAAAGCCACATCTCTGTCATTCCCACGCAGTGTACCTCCATGAGACAATTAGCGTGCAGAGGTGACACGGCAAACAGGTGCAAAGCATTATTGGTGGAGGTGGAGGAGCGCGTCCACCCCATCCCTCACCGTGATGGATACTTCCAGATCCGCACGTGTGTGTCCGTGATGGCAGGTTGGATGACAAGTCAGGGGACGTCTCCGCTTTGTGAAGTTAAATAGCTTCATCCAACCTGGTTGTTTGTAATCAGCAGGCAATCATCATCATCATCCTCATCATCGTCATTGCTGTCATTCACACACCATAGAAATTACACTCACTTTCTTTTCTTACACTCTTTAGGACTTCATTCTTGTTTGCATTTCTGTTATCCTTTATTCCTCTCTGCAATGATGTTATTAATCACTCGGCTTCTCACTTTGGTGTTTTCTTTTTTTTGTTTTAAAATGAATCTCTGTAAATAGAGTTTAGGTGTCTGAGGGAATGTAGCTAGGTGTTAGGCTGGCATTCACATCTGATAAAACGAACTGTTCTTTTCAAAAGACATATTATTTTTTGTTCTGTAAAATGTAATTCATGTTATTTTATAAATTTTAAATTACCTTTATAACAACCATCATGACATTAAGTTTGCATTGCAGATGCGTTACTAACGTGAAAAACTCCTATCCCACACAGATATCTGAAATCCATATTCTTAATCACTCATTAAACATTAAAATATGCAGAAATATTGCTACATGTCTTGATCTAAAGTGTGCCTTGGCACTTGTTTGTTGCATAGGAGTTGGTTCTGCCTGCTGTAGTTTTATTAATCAAATATAGCATGGGTGAGTCATGGCGTTTTGGCTTGTGTCATATTGGAGGTATGTGCCACAGATTTATCTCATATTGGAAGCAGAGCTAACACATGCTACCCTTGACGTATTCTCACACCATTTCTCACACAAAGCACTGACACACAAACTTGCAGACGCTCACACTCTTGGAGGACTTTTATAGAGGGAGGTGCGTAAACAGGCGCTCCAGTCCTTGAAGACTCATTAAAAGACAGGCTGCCTTTTTAAAAAAATACTTTTTTCTCTGCATCCTTAATATAGTTTCTGCATTTTCAAATAAATTAGATATTTTGAGCAATTTTTCTGATCTTATTATTCTTTTACTGAACATTAAAATGTGAAACATTTAAATTAGCCATAGGACAGTTTTCAGTTTTTCCATTTGGTAATGCTCCCTCATCCAGATTCTGTCAGTTATGGTTTGCCCAGATCAGAAGTGGTCTCAGGCGTCTTTGACTAAAAAAAAGTTGGGTTACACTTCAAACCAGATATTTACATATGCTCCATATAAACACACAGAACCAATTTGCCCCCATATGTAACAATGGATTTGACTAAGCTTTTGTAGTTTCAGTCAGTTATAATTACTAAAATTATTTATCTTCACTAAATGTCAAAAATTATGATTAATAATTTTTGTATGTTAATGTATGTTGACTTTCTTTGAGAAGTTAACATACATTCCTTTATTATTTGTTGAAATTGTTGTTTAAATTGTATGAGTTGGACAGTTGGTTGGAATTTTGACCCAGGTCCTCCATCTGGTTTATACTAGGCTACTTTGTTAACACATACCTTTTTGGCTCTGCCCTCCATTTCTCGATGGAATGTAATGACTATTCCAAAACATGGTAATTGTTATCTAAGCCATCTTTTGGGTAATTCTGTGGTCTACATCTGGTCACTGAAAGACCCCATGGTTCTTCCTTGCTGATGTCTTAAATGTTACTTCAATAATTTCACATAATGTCTCCTTATGCTGCCATCTACTTTGTGAAGTCCATCAGTTCTGTGAAGTGCAAAATGGTTCTTCCTTTTCTATACTTACATTGGGATTATGATCTCAGGCTTGCAAACTTTTCCCCTTTTGTATATAATGCTTTTTGTCCTTCTAACCAAAGAGTCATTTTACCAAGAATGGTAATCTTATAATCTGACTTTTTTTCTATTAATTTGGATAAATGGTTTCTTCCTGGGACCAGCGACCTCTCACCCAATGATCAGCCCCTTCATGGTTAAGTGGGTACAGACATTCATGTCTTGGACACAGAACCTGTCTCTTCCTGAACAATTTGATACCTGAGCATTTCCAGAAACTTCACCCAACGATGAAGCGAACTTGTTGAGGTCTACAATTCTCTTCCAAATATCTTACCTGATTTCTTGAGCTCCTTTGATTTTTCCATGGTGTCACAGAAGGAAGTGGTGTGTGTGAGGTGTTGTCCTAAACTACACCAGTTAGTTCAAGATCAACATCAGAAGCTTCCAAAATGCATGACAACATCATTTGAACTTTCTTGAAATTTTTAAAAGGCTAATAATCTTGGTTTATTTCTAAACTCTGCATTTTTCAGAAAATAAGATGTTTTTTTCTCTGTTAGAATTTAGCAAATAGAAATATTTTGGGAATCCTAACTGACCTAAAACATGATCGGTTTATTCCTGTTACACAGTGTGTCAATATCTGTAGTCTTATTTGATAGTAAATGATATTTATATTTCTCTTACAAAGTTGGAAAGTTCAGTCCATTCAAAACAATTTGTGTGTGTGTATATAAATCTTCTCACATTAGGAAAATATTATTTTTATGGGAAACAAAAAAATTATATAAATATCCAGCTTTGAATTGACCAACTTTAAAAGTATTTTGAAATCAAATGAAAATAGCATCAGTCAAGAGTTAAAACTGAAAATGAACTGAATCAAACTATTGCTATTTCAAATTTCTGTATAAACTAAATTACAAAGTAAAACAAAATGCATGGTTATTATGAAGGAGATAGGTCTGTTTTTATTAGTTCTTTGGGTTAAATTAGTCACTTCTGTGTTCTCTTTAAGCCGTCGGTATATTAAGACATGTTTGGCATAAGAAAACCCTCCCGTTCTCGCTCAGTTTCTCTTTTTATCTCTTCCTCCCTCTCTGACAGCCTTCATT